ATAGTCAATCCTCCAATTTCCTCCTAGTGGTTAAACTATTATTTATCCTGTCTCTTTACCAGTTTACACAGAACCAGTGGTGCCTTATTATGCAAACATTTCATCAGTTTCATATGATAAATTCATAAAACTAAGCATATTCATATTTTTTTTAAATATGACAGCGATGCCATCGATTTGGCTTTTTATAGTATTTTTAGAGCCTGATTATTCAATACTTTTTAAAATTGTTTTATTATGGAGCCATTTATTTGAGCCCAGACTGTAATACAGTAAGAAAGGCCGGCAAGACACAATTATTGCATGTATGAAAAGATGAGCTACCTGATTCCAGATATACTGTCTAATAAGTTTTAAACTATTTAGATTACGGTAATCATTTTTTGAAAGTTTTTTGTTTGATAAAATTTAAGTTCTGAATCTGAATCTGAAACTACACCTAAAAAATTAAACGGGTCTACCTTCCATTGCGTACCCTAATTATTCTTTTTGTTTGTTTTTAGAGAAAAAAAACGGTTTTCCTAACATTTAAAGAGAGATGATTTCCTGCAGCCACTTGGTTTTCTTCTCCATTTGTTCATTTAAAATTGTGGCAACTTTGATTATCAGATATGTAAATTACTGCATCATCAGCATGATGTTGACATTCAACAACTGGACAACAACATGGCAAATCATTTAAAAAATGAAAAAGCAAAGGGCCTAAATGAGCCTTGAGGTAAGCCCATTTTGTTGTTCATAAATGATGACATTGCACCCTCAATTTTTGCACATTGCTCTCTCAGATTTAAATGTGAGGAAAACCACACTCATAATTTGTGTTTTATTAATTTGTAGCACTTTATTTTTTTGATTCGGGGGGACGTAGCTGATCAGGGCCCTTTTTTCCCATTTACATTCGTTTGCCAGCTTTGCTATAGCATAGATTAATAAAACATTGTGCGATTCATGACATTGATCTCTATGCTATAGCAAAGCTGAGAGGCTTCAGAATATATGATGTCATTTCTTGTGTCCTAATCGGCATACTTGCCGCTTACACAGACCCAATGCTATAACGCTTTCACAGACCCAATGACCTGCATCTGATCAGTCCTAATGTTGCCAACTATTTTTGAAGGTTTAATTATTTGTGCTCTTTTCTAACAGAGAAAATTTTATATTATTTGATGTTTTATCAATTTGCAGGGGTGGACAGTATAAGTACTTTACTTGAGTATTATTTTTTTTCTGGAGACGTTTTACTTTAACTTAACTACATTTGAAAAATCAAATAGCCTACTTTTTGTACAAATAATACAAATAGAATGTCCTTGAGTAGAAAATAGTAATGTCAGTCAGGGGATGATTTTGGCTGGAAATAAAGTCGGGTTGACATTACAACTCAACGACTGACGTTGGTTTCTGACGTCAACACGATTTTCATTTTCACCGTTGGGTTTGGTCTTCTAAATGCAAATGTTGTCATTGTTTTGGAGCACAATAACAGTAGGTTAACATATTCATTCTAAAAGCCAAAACACTTAGTAGGGCACAAAAAATAGGGCACTTTAAATAGGGACGTAATTGAGTGCATTTATTCTGTTCACTACTGGAGCCGTGTTCTAGAAATACACTTGATATTGATATGAGGGTATGCAGCAGTGGCGGCTCCTGCAAAATCTCTCAGGAGGGGCAAATATTTGGATGATTGATAAGGACAAGGCCCACCCATGCAATGGATAAATTAAAAGCTTAAGCATGTAAAGTCAACTTCACTTTAATATTAATGACTAATAAAGTGACTTAATAACAATAAATCTTCTTGTTTCTATACTCACTATTATTACACTTATTACATCACATTAAAGAGATTCGGCACACAAATTAAGATATTTTTGATTATATCTAAGAGCTGGATCACTCCTCCATACACAGCAAATTCTGTTTTTTGGAATAAACTCCGTTAGTTAAAATCAACTCAATCTGATTGTACATGTGAGACCATCAAATAGACTCCAGCGCAGAGTTAAAATAACTCTGCTCTTGGAGTTGAATTTAACACTTTTTCGGAGTTAAAATTTATGGAGTTAAAATACTAAACCTAAGGAGCGTAAATGTAACTCTAAAAATAATTATATGAACTCATTACCAGTGTTAAAAAGTAACACTCAAAAAAATTATTTAGTTTAACACTTCTTAGAGTTAACATTTATTTAACACAATATAATGTTTTGTGTGGAAATTACTACACTGAACACCATATTCTTGATTTACTGCCTTTATTTCAGCAAATCGATTTGGTTCAGATTTGAGGAGGAGTAACCTTCAACCGGTTGTCTGCAGGACAGTCGTATATGAAGATCACAAAAACAACAGTATGAGGCATAATCTAGCACCATTCATTGAGAATGCAAAAATATATTAGCTGAAAATCACGCACATGTGATCGTGGGTCACCACTAATACGTAGCCTAACGTTATAGCTGTTACAATTCAAATCATTGCAGGCCTACACAGCACAACTATATCTTATTTTCCAGGGTAACGTTAGACACTGCAATTGTGTAACCACGTATGCCTGTAATGCATTGATGCATCAACTTCACGGTAAAACACTCATTTTCAGAAACACGGTGAATGGAAAGACGGTTAGCTAATGTTAACTCGTTTACATTGACAAAAACCCCACGCAAATAGTCATTTCAAAATTTGAAACAAGTAAACAAACGTTCAACAGCAAGTTTGTCATAATCGTTGACGTTAGTAAACAGTATAACTAGCCTATAACGTAGCAGCTACGCGATGACCAAACGTGTTTGTCAGAAAATATAGAACATTTTTAAATAGTTTATATACTCTTTTACCTACCTCACGACGAGGCACATAAGTCCATTATTCCTTTATCCAGCGGCAGGGTCGTGTCGAGGCGCATTTCTCAAAAATAACTCCAGGTGTAGCTAGTGTTAAACCAAAACACACTCCTGAACACCAATGAATGAACTCCAAAATACAACACAGCCGGGGAGTATCCAATAACACAAAGTGTAGTCAGAGTTAAAAAAAAATAACTCAAAAGTAACTCTTTTTTGCCTAACTCATGATTTTTCAACTCCTGAAATTTGCTGTGTAGGCTTCTAAAGGACTGTGTTCGCCATGGCGTTGTTCAAGTTCAACTGTCTGTAGCCACAACTCGCGAGATGTCCCAACAGTCTCTCTCGCTCTCGCTTTTTTTTTTTTAAATCAATTTGATAAAGATAATTAAGTAGTGTTTCATTTTTTATTGTTGCTGTTTGAATTCAAAATTGTTTAAAAATATTATTTGTCACTTAATATTAAAGATTTTTAATAGTGGATGTTTGTTCCCACCAATCGCTGCACAAGTTAAGGATACGTATGATGATGTAAGCACGTTAGTGCGAGCCCTCCCGGAACCCATAGAGAATGCGTTGCAGTGCCTGCAGTTCGAAAAAAAACATCTTTGAATGTAAGTCTATGGGAACACTCTGGGCGATTTTCAGCTAACGTTAGAGTGAAATCGCCCAAAAAGAGGCGGTACTCCACAGAACGTGACATGACACTGATTGGACTATATAGTGATGGCTAGCGTAACTCTCTGGTTAAATGAGATTGTGAGTGTGATGATTCACACTTTGGTGGTGCGTCGCCCAATCGCCCCAATGAAGAAACCGCCCCTGGTATGCAGGTATAGATTCAGAACAATAATAAACAATGCATTGACGTTTACTTTTTACTTTTGATACTCAAGTCAAGTACTTTCAAAAACGAATACGTATGTACTTCACTTAAGGAAAAATCTGACTTTTACTTAACAGAGTACTATTTGACTAGTAGTATCTGTACTTTCTCTCAAGTAAGGAAGTTGTGTACTTTGTCCACCTCTGATAATTTGCATTTAGCTTGCATTTTTTGTTTATATTTGATTATATTTATATCAAATCATTAAAATAATATTGATTATCGAACTGAATCCTGAGAAAACCCTACAGTCTCTTCCCACCGCTAAACTGGAACATTTTAATATTGGTTTCTCTCCAGTTGTGTTCATTCATTTCCAACACTCCATCCAACATTTATTAATATCAGTACTTGTTTCAGAATGTTCAGAGAAAGTACATTTCCATAATGTTTGCCAAATGTTGAATGGAATGTTTCCTTAACGTTCTCCGAAACCAAGAAAAAACACGTTTTTAAAAACCTGTGATAAACTGGAATTTTTGAATAAGATCATTCAGAAATAACGTAACGTAACATAATAACTTAAAGGAGTAGTTCACTTTTAAAAACACTTTAGCTGATAATTTACTCACCCGCATGTCATCCAAGATGTCCATGTCTTTCTTTTTTCAGTCGAAAAGAAATGAAGGTTTTTCTCCATATAATGCACTTCAATGGGAACCAAACGGTTCAAGATCCAAAAGACAGTTTCAGTGCAAACTGTTCAAAGGGCTTTAAACGATTCCAGACGATGAATAAGGGTCTTATCAAGTGAAACGATCACTCATTTAAAAAAAAATAAAAAATTTTATAAGCTCAAATGCTCGCCTTGCTTTGTTAGGGTTATGGTGTGATGCGCGTTCGTGACTCTCATTCGAACTCGTTCATCAAAATGAATGAATTTTTTCCCGAGTCAACTCATTCATTTCGTTCGTTCGTTGAATGAACCAAATGACATGAAAAAAGATTTGTTCATTTTGATCAACGACTTCGAACAGGAGAGTCACGAACGCGCATCACAGAACAGAAGGCGACCATTTGAGCTTATAAAACTTAAACTTTGTTATTTATGTATTAAATGAGTGATCGTTTCACTTGATAAGACCCTTATTCATCATCTGGAATAGTTTAAAGCCCTTTGAACAGTTTGCACTGAAACTGTCTTTTGGACCTTGAACCGTTTGGTTCCCATTGAAGTCCATTATATGGAGAAAAATCCAGGAATGTTTTCATCAAAAACCTTATCTTGGAAGACATGGGTGAGTAAATTATCAGCAAAAGTTTTTTTTTTTTAAGTGAACTACTCCTTTAATGGAAATATTACTAAACCGGTCTTATTTCTGTCAACTGTGGATGTACAGCAATAACTTTTACAAACAATTTAACTGTAAGATCCTCAGATGGGAAAAGCTATAGAAGAATGGGAAGACGGTCTCAGTGAAGCTGGTGGTGAACGTGTGTAGATGTGTGTTAGATAGAGAATCGGAGAATGAAACCGTTCCTCTTTCAAAGTCCAGCTGAACTCTCACCCGCTCAAGCTTCTGTTCCACAGGAAAACCAGACTCTTCGAACAGTCTGTACTGCACACTCCACACACCAGTGTCAAAGAAATCGCATCCCTTCCTCTGGTTCGATGCCGCAGTTACTCCCAGAGCCCAGGACGAGCTCTCTTTAACCTCCACGTCCCAGCAGTGTGTCCCCGAGTCAAACCCCTCTGAACCCAGAACGCAGGAATGCTCGTCGAATCTCTCTGGATTGTCAGGAAGTGTTTGACTGTTTGAACTGCATCTCAGACTGGTCAGATCATCAGACAAGAGGAGATCTGGATGAGCTGTATTTGGATCCAGAATCACAGGAGCTGATGAGACACAATCAACAGCTGCTTTTATTCTGATCTTCATATGATCAGGAGTGAACTGTACACTGAACCTTTCATCCAAATGAATTGTGAATGCATTTATAAACAATCAGCTGATTACTATTATTATATTATGTATTAAGACCCTCAATTCTCACCTGACTATGGCTTTGTAAACTTTATCCATGATGTGATTTATAATGGACTGTGGTACAGAAACAGTGACAATGTTACACACTCTTGTCTTACTTAGACGACATGTTTGTCCCGTTTTAGCCACCGTAGCCTCTTCGCAATCACACTTAATTCACCCCTATGATTTGGGCTTGACTTAAGCACTTGAAAACAAAGTCCACTAGATAGTGCCAACATAGAATCAGGCCATGAGTGCAGAGACATCTCTGCGTGAGTGCTATTGTACTCCACAGCGACTCTAGGGGTCACAGTTTGACAAAAACGGAAATCCTGCATAGTGCAGCTTTAAATTTTTTTATTTTTGCATACTTTTTGCATTTGCATGATAAAAATTGTAGAGATCTGCTATGTAACTAAATATCAATGTGTGCCAAAGTTGTTCTCTTGTTCAGAGCTCATTTTGGTGTTGCAGGTCATCTGGTTATTCCACACATTATTACTAAATCTTTAAAGTCCCCCTTGTAGTGAATACTTTTATCCCTTAAAACACATTTTTGATCACTGAGAAAAAAAATTATACATGCCTTAAAATAGCCTGAACGTAACTCTACACCCTTGCCTCATTTAGTAAATGTGGTTCTATGAATATGCTGATGAGCCCCGCCTCCACTCAATCACAGCAGCTCAGAGATTCACTCGTTGACGATCACATGTTGACCTGTTTGGTTGCAAGGTAGTTTGTGACGTCAGAAACACCAGCGATTTCAAAGCGCGTTTTTGAGACTGTCTTTCACTGAGAAAATACTCAGCAATGCTGTTGACTTATGAATTTGTACATGGTTTGTCTTATAAACAACATTAAAAACTTGATTTTCACCACAGGGGGACTTTAAAATTCAACCATCTGTCATTTAAACTGTATGTAAAGTTCTCAGCCAGTAATTTCCAGACATCGTAAAGACATGCAACTTTCTATGATGGTTATTAATTTCATAGTTATATCAAGCTCCACACTATTTTATCAGGCAGAAATAGCTATTTGTTAAAGACAAAACTTTTAATGTAATCACAGTTCTTTAAAGCTGCAGTCCGCATTTGTTCCTCTGTTCGAAATCTGTAATTGCAGTCATTCGCGGAATTACCAACTTTACGTGAGTTGTACTTCGTCACCCTTGACACGGCACAGCGTGGATGAACACAATGTTTGAGGAGAGTGAGCAACTGTCAGAGACACTGTGCCGATGTGGATACTGGCATTCAGAATCACAGATTGTTCTTTTTGGAAGTATGACCAACATAATAATTTTCATCAGGAAATGTCATCTGAACAAGTAAGTAACATCCAACAAATTATACTTTGTTCTCAAATTGTTAATGTTAACAACTTCAGCATTGCGTGACTTTGCTTGCCCTTCCGATATGTATATTTGTTTTCGCAAGGGTCCGGTTGCAGTCTCTTTTTTAAGTTCTTTAAGTCTTTTGCATTTTACAACGGGTGAGTCTTCAGTTGTCACTGGTGATTTGCCATCAAATTGATAAGTTTAATTATATCAAGTGCTGTGAGAAAAGGCTATAAATCTCCACCTCCAGCATCCTCAAACACAATATAGCCTACTAGCCGAGACTCCTTCTTTATGTGTACAGACGTGACGTAATGATGCAAAGACTTGCTCGAATCTCCCGCGGAAATCCACCAGTAGCCTACCACTGGAATTAAAAACATTATTACAAGCTTACCGTTTTGAATCGAGCTAAGGAAAGCAGATAGTTGTGAACACTCATTATGGCTGATTATGTATTTTCTCAAATATGTATTTTTATATTGCAAATAAATGCTGTTGTTTTGAACTTTCTATTCAGGATTCTATTCAAAAAGCCTAGGTGAGCAAAAAGACCCAAACTTCTGAACTCAAGCGGTCTTAGCCTTTGAATACTGTCTTGGACACCAAGGGCCTTGCAGTCAAAATGTTTGAGAATCAGTTTTCTAAAGAAGACTCACTGTTTTGGACAATGTTTTGCGCCTTCTTCCAGACTCTGAACGGCAGGTTGCCTAAGTAACGCGCCACATGAATCAAAGCTCCAGATGCCATGTGTGTATCCGGCTGTGAGCTCTGGACTCTGGAAGAACATTCAGGAGTCAGAACAACAGTGGCTTTGGAGAAACGTTGAGGGTTACGTATGTAACTCATGAATACGTCAAATGACAACAAAATGGGGTTTCGCTTAAAAAAACCTATCAACTTTGAGTATTACAAAACGAGTCATTGGCAAAGAAATGCCATTGGTCTGTGGATTTTGCATAGCATGATTATTGCTGGGGAGACGATACTGAACTCAGGCTGTTCCAGTGGTACAGTGAAGTGGCAGGGAGACATATGTAACCGAGACGTTCCCTTTCGTAGTCACGAGTTACAAAATGGGGTTCCCAGTCTAATCACGCCACCTTGCAGCTTGCAGAAAAAAGCTTGCAGCAGTGCTGAAGCGTCCAGGGAGAAACACACACGCTGTTCAGATCAGCAGGCAGAAATGTGAAACTCGCTGGAGAAGACAATCACACCAACACCGACTGGAAACTGCTCGTCTAGAAGATTCTTGAAGATAGTCAGAGAATGGGCTTTATGCACAGCTGCATACTTGCTGAACTTAAGCCAGCTCCTTGTTTCCTGTCTGCCATTATTGGCCAAATTGATTTGGCCAAATTGAACTTATTCTGCAAAAGTGTGCTTAATTGTACTGAATGTACACTTGTAGTGTACTTCACGTCGCAAAAGAATATTTAAAAAACCTTTGCTAACAGATAATTTAATAATAATGAAATAAAAGGCAACTTAAGTGCACTTCAACAGAGTACACTGTCATAACTGTTTCTTAGCACACTTAAGTACAATTCTAAAAAGTACACTTTGTTATAGTCAAATTAAAAGTAAATATTAGTTTGCACTTATGCATTTTCTTTTTTGTATGTTACTAAAAAGAAATGTATGGGTACTAATTTTTCACAAGGATTAGCCTGTTAATTTGACTTTAAAAGAAATAATCATAATAAACTGGAAACTGTTACATTAATTGTAGAACCTATCTGCGTGACTCTGTGTCCTCACCTTGATGTGTTGAATTGTTTTCACACACTCCCCTTTAATTTTCTCCATGTGTTTAAGTTTCTCTTGTAATAACCTCAGCTCCTCCTAAAATATAACAAAATAAAATATATAAAATAGTGATATGATCGTACATCATGTGATTATAAAGTTGAGCAAAATGGCAGAGTGGAATGATATCAGTGACTATTCATTGCTTGAAAAAAGAGACATGTCCTACCTTATAAGATGAAACAACTTCACTGATGGGTCTGAATGTGTGCTTGACATGTTTATGTGAATCTCTACACACTAAACACACAGGCTGTTTGTCATCCAGACAGAAGAGTTTGAGTTTCTCACTGTGTAAACTGCAGACCTCCTCGGACCCTGCAGATGAACCCTTCTCATTTCTCCTCTTCACGAAGGACTCGCACAAGTTTCTTAACACAAGATTACATGGAGGATCATCTCGTGACGACCTTCTCCTGCAGACTGGACACTCCCTAGTGTTCCTGCTACTCCAAAACTGTTGAAGACACTCTTTACAGAAACTGTGACTACATGACAGAAGAACGGGAGCCTTGAAGATTTCACAGCAAATTGGACACGACATTTCCTTTGCAGAGAGTGAATCCATTTTCACTGTTTTCGAGCACCAGCAAACTTCACTTTGAAGACTTCTTTCCCGAATGATGGACTCAAACGTAAATAGGAAAATCAGACAAACTCTGCTAGCTATTTGGAAATAAACTTCTCTAAAATACCCTTTGAAAGAGTCTCTTGTTCTCCACTGATTGCAGGTTCTTTAATGCTTTTGTCGAGACACTGAGATTAGAGTCGCTATAAAAGAAAGTAAAAGCACTGAGACAGTCAAGCCCTTGCAAGCTTTTTGATCACCTTAGGGTATTAGAAACAGGTCAGACGACACCATCAAAATTTCTTTCCAGTGACGTGGCTTAAACCAAGCCCTTAAAGGGACTATGTGTAACTTTTTATGTAATTTATTATTTAAAATCAATATTTTTATTCATAAATATGTCCTCAATGGTGTACAAATACCTCTGCCAATTATCTGACTTATCCTCATAAATGAATAATTTATTATCTTTATATACATGGGATGGGTAAGTCAGCGGAGGCTTCCGTGTAGTTCCGCCATCTTGAAAAACTATAATAACAGAGAGGGACAAAAAGAGCTAGGCCAATCGTTTCCACAATGGATTTTCGTTCAGAGCCAGCGTCACGTGACTGAACGCAGCAATAGCGGAGGAGCAGAGCAGTGAGAGGCGCTTGTCACTGCCCCCGCAAGTTTAAAAGGCTGCATTACAAATCCTTGTCGCCAAAAAAGTCCAAAAAATTGATCGTAAATGGGAACGTGACCGGAGATTACAAAAAACACGAGTTAATGTCGGGATAGCTTTTTACAAGTGATAGAGCAAATGCAGGAGAAAGAGTTCAAAAGAGACTCTGAAATCCTGCTTTCTTCTCGACAGGTAAGGAAATGTTACAGTCTTAATAACAAGATTTTTTTTTCCATTGTTTGGTTGTGTACTTTATTATATAGACAGATGAACATTTATAGTTAAAAGTTGATGATATCTAATGCACACAGGCTACTTCAGAAAATATAACGAATAAAGAAGGCATAACTACTTTTTACAATAGTTCATGTCTTTCACAGTCAGTATATCATAATGTAACATTTGTTTATTTGTTGTGTTAAGTTGCTGTTTATTTGAAATAACAAACCTGTTCACCCGAAGGAACACTTGACGAAGTGCTAATCCTATCATAGCGTTTTGATACATAATGGTTACCGTAGATGCAACACGCATTTGAAAAAGCGAGGCGCTGGAGAGCACGATTTGTTTGAATGCCAAATACATTTTCACTGCTAGATGGCAGCAATTTCTGCAAAATGTCCAAAACATTATGGACCATGGCAAGCAGACTCTGGGACAATAGGAAAACGAAAACGAGGATCAGTGGGCCTTTTTCAAGATGCCGAGACAAACTTCGACTTGATGTTCTCATTCTGTTTACGCGAAATTCTGACTGAATGTATCAACAGAAATCGACACTCATCAGACCAGGAAACATATTTCCAGTCGTCAACTGTCCAATTTTGGTGAGCTCTTGCAAATTGTAGCCTCTTTTTTTTTCTATTTGTAGTTGAGATGAGTGGTACCCGGTGGGGTCTTCTGCTGTTGTAGCCCATCCGCCTCAAGGTTGTGCGTATTGTGGCTTCACAAATGCTTTGCTGCATACCTCGGTTGTAACGAGTGGTTATTTCAGTCAAAGTTGCTCTTCTATCAGCTTGAATCAGTCGGCCCATTCACCTCTGACCTCTAGCATCAACAAGGCATTTTCGCATACTGGATGTTTTTCCCTTTTCACACCATTCTTTGTAAACCCTAGAAATGGTTATGCGTGAAAATCCCAGTAACTGAGCAGATTTTGAAATACTCAGACCGGCCCGTCTGGCACCAACAACCATGCCACGCTCAAAATTGCTTAAATCACCTTTCTTTCCCATTCTGACATTCATTTTGGAATTCAGGAGATTGTCTTGACCAGGACCACACCCCTAAATGCATTGACTAAACTGCCATGTGATTGGTTGATTAGATAATTGCATTAATGAGATTCTTTAGGTGAGTGTATTCAGCAAAATGCTCTTCTTTAGACTTAATACTTCATGCTAACTAACAATCTATGGTCTTAGAATTTCCAGAGGTAAATATAACGTTACATGTACATTATTTACAAGCTGTTTTAATGACCTCTTTCCGCAGTAGAAACACTGATTGAGCGATTGCATGAGACATGATACCCTTCGTTAATTTGTTCTGTATCTTTCAACATACCTTCTGATGTTCATTCATGTTTATTTGGTGCTCTAACTAGTAGTTAAGAGGAAGAGAAGATCGGTTCAACTGACGCTTGAACCAAGGCACTAGAGCGATCTGTCACGCCACAACAAAGAGCGCCAAAGCGGTATTTATTGTTTGAATTTTGCAACAAAATTGACAGAATTGACAATTTTCTGAATTGACAGAATTGCACCCTGATCTGTCTTGTCTGTCGGCGTGTTGTCAGTGTCCTCTCTGCTCCGCGATGTTTTGTATGGTGTGAAAGCACTTGAATGCTTGATAGTTTGCAGCCCTACACACGTACTGTATATCTCAAAATGACTAGATGTTTTCATTGTGGGATGTCAATATCCATTGATGACTTATATCATCCTGATGCTGGTCACATCAGTCAAAGAAGGAGGATATACTGACATCTGCTGGTCAGAACCTCGTAACGCAGGGCATTTCCTGTGACAGAGCAACAGTTCACATGAATGTGACAGGAAACAGCGTAATGAACTGCTCAGTGTGATCACAATCTCACCAGAGAAAACGCAGAGCAGGACAGATCTCTCAGACACAGGCAGTGCAGCACAGCATCATGGATAGATGGGAAAAGCCGCCCTTTTGAGACGGACTCTGAGAAGAATCCTCCTCGCTCCAACTGCTGCACTACACACGCTGCAGCCATAAAAAAGGTGCAGTTGTTGCATATTCTACTAATGTTATTTGATTTAGCATGTGAATGTTTGAATTTTAATTAAGGGTGTATCAGATTTTACCCACCTTGACATCCAGCGATGTAAACAGCGACATCTACTTCAGCAAAGTTTTGAAATATCTAGAAGAAAGATTACCATTCATTTATTTCCAGCATGATTTTTCTCTCTCTCAATTCATTACTATGGAAACTTGCTTCTGCCATGGAATTAAAAAGGTAATTGTGACACTTTTTTTCATAATTCAGACTTTTTTCCCCCTTTTACTTTAACCCTTTCACTCATAGAGGTCACTACAGTGGACAGCTATTCAAAAAAGCATTTTCTTGCAAATGCGTGGTTTTTGATGGTATAGTTGCAGATCAACTTCTACAGTGGACACATAGATATATACACTAGATGTCACCTTGGCTACGGCAGACGGTTCATTGGAACGAATGCGTCAATAGAAATAAGGGATCTTGAAAGTTAATTCCTCTTTCTATCTCTCTTACTATCATCTTCTGTAGAGCTCCTTAACAGCTGAAACATTTATTGTACAACTTTAACACTGTTTTTGTCTTTGTCAATGTGATGCTGCTTTTGAAGCAATCTTTATTGTAGGTATATATGGGCCTATAAATAATTGTGACTTGTTTTGACCTATGTAACCCCTCCACCCAGGTCCAACTCGACCCCCCGAACCTGGGTCTCCGGCATGAGAGTCGGGCGCACTAACAAGGAGGCTAAAGACTGCAGCCTCTAACGTCTGTCGCTAGAGCGCCTATTGAGATCGGGGAGTGACAGCAACTACTAGCTGGCCTCCGCTACACCTACGTTTTCCAGTGTTTTCAGGGTGACGGTGTCGATGAAGCTGACAGGAGTGAAGTCCAGGATAATGGAGTGTGTGTGTTCCTGCACATTGTCACAGCTGGAGGAGTGTGTCTCTGTGATGTCCCGTTCCTCCTGCTCTGGCTGGAAGCCGTGGTTCGTGTTACCGTGGCCTACTGTCGCTATGCCGTTGTCATTGATGATGTGTTCATGGTCCGTTCTTTGGCAGTGCACAGATTCACTCACATTCTTCATGGAGACCAGCATTCTGTTCGCTAACTCTCTCAGAACTCCAGTCTATAAACAAGAAACAAAACCGCTTAATAAACTGTTTCACATGCTCACATCTTAAAGGGTAAATAAACCCCTGGTCAGAGCCTGACTCCACCCACAGGCAGTATTTGAAAAATGCTGGAAATGTAGGCAGAGCCCAGCGGAGGGGGGCGTGCACCTGAGACGCATCTCTTTGTATGAAACTTGCCTATGTCACCAACAACCGCTGTGTCACGTACCACCGCAAACATCCAATAGGAAAATTCAACTGCAGTAGCCACCGTTCAACCTGAAGAGGGCAGCACTAAGACGTTTTTACACCATATATTGTAGAAATAGAACACTTTATAAACAAATGCCAAAAAAGTTACTCGAATCAATGACTGGTATTAATAAAGATCCATTCTTACAGATCATTAACTAAAAAAAGTTGGTTAAGTGTTTAGTTACTCTATAAAGAACTAAAACTTTAAAAAGGTTTCTGTAAAGAGGTATGCAAGAGTGTGTGGGGACGAATGACGCAGGTGTAGTGTAAGCTTAGGTGAGAATTACCGTGAGAGCAAAACAAAATGCCGGTGACGATTAAGAAGTCTAAAACAATATGTTTGAAAGAAAAATGTTAAAGGATTTCGATTTAAGAGAAAGGAGCTACTTCCTACATTATACGTAAGGTCACCCTTCCGCCAGAACTCGACTCTCTTGTTAACGGACGTACAGCCTTTGCCTGAAGTCAGTGATTACTCACGCACTCCTACTAGCCACCTTGGCGGGTTGAATTTTACATATAATATATAGATTTTTGTCAAAAGTGTTGTCTGTCAAAACGCCGGTCTTGGCGAGTATTGACGTAAACATAGTCAGTTGTGTTTTAAAAGAAAAGAAACCCAATGTGTAACAGTATAATGGATCTGTGTATATGATCTGTTTTGATGGATAGGCGTGCTTTTTGAAGCGTCAATATCTCAGGCTCTATTCAATGCCATTACAAAGCTGAGAAGAGCCAGGATATTGTTTAATACAACTCCGATTGTGTTCGCTTAAAAGAAGAAAGTCATATACTGTACACATAGGATGGGTTGAGGGTGAGTAAACTTGATGTAAGCTGTACTTATTTTATTTAAGGGGTTGTTGGAAAATGATTCACAAATATATATTTTTTTCAAACATACACAAAGTTTTTTTCAGGGGTAGGGTTAGTGTAATAATGATGAATGTGTGTATGTGATTGTCTGTAAGTTGTGGTATTTGGACAGAAACTCTTTCAGAAGAGTTTCCAGAATTCCTCA